ACTTTCAAACCTTTTTAAAACAAGGATGCCTTCAAGAAAAAATATTGTGAGACGTGCCTGTGTTACTAATAAAAGTCATCGTTTGTGGAGTGTTAAAGAAAAACTTATGGTTATCTTCTACTTGGAGCGTATTAATAGTGTGAGGGCAACCGCGAAACACTTTGAAATCAAACCGAAACAAGTCCATGAGTGGCGTAACAAAAAGCAAGAACTTCTGAATGCAGCACCGTATGCTTTAACACTCAATCGTGGTCGGCAAGCACAGTACCCCCTGTTGGAAGAAAACTTAATAGATTGAATCGAAGAGCATCGTAATATGCAACATGCTGTTACTAGAAATATGGTAGTTAGGAAGGCTAAGGCTTTGGCCCAGACTGATGAAATTAAGAATGCTTACCCTAACATCGCTAGCTTTAAATTTTCTATTTTCTGGTTGAGTCAGTTCTTATGTCATAATGATCTTTCGAACCGTAGACGTACAACTGTTGCGCAACACCTTCCGGCGGCCCTGGCTAAAAAACAAAGTGAATTCCTTAGTTTGATTTTGTTCAAACGTAATCAGTATGACTACCCTGTTAGATATATTAGTAACATGGATGAAATGTCTTTGGCATTCGATATACCTAGTCCAGTAACCCTTGAAAAATGTGGAGCAAAGACAGTAAGCATCAGAACCACCGGGCATGAAAAAGCATGCTTTACTGTGATCCTTGGGTGTCTTGCAGATGGAACGAAACTTCCACCTGTATGTATTTTTAAGTTGAAAAATGTTCCCTGTGAAGTCTTCCCTCCAGGTGTTATCATTAGAGTAAATGAAAAAGGATGGTGTAATGAGCTTGTAATGCATGATTGGATTGATAATGTTTGGACCGAGCGTAATCCATTAGGAAATCCACGATCTCTTCTTGTTTTGGATGCCTTTAGAGGTCACTTGGTAGACTCTGTTAAGCGCCGATTTAATGAAAAAAACACTGATCTTGTAGTTATTCCACATGGAATAACTAGTAAATTACAGGCCCTTGATGTCGCGATCAACAAAAGCTTCAAGTATCAGATATATTGAAACAAACCTTTTTTTTTTTTTTTATTAAGCACATTAATAACCCTAAACTTTATCAAGATACGTTGCCGTTACAATGAATGGATAGTCAATTCAATTCATCAATTAACGCTTGCTGGATATATCTGAAAGCCATCGTATACCATGTTAGCTCTATGGGTAAAAGAATCTTGGGATGAAATTAGTCCTCGTTTAATTCAAAGTGCATTTAAATGCTGTGGTATCTCGGTAGAAATAGATAGGTCGGAAGATGATTTAGTCTTTGATTATGAATTGTTGGATGAGGAGAATGCAAGTAATGAAAATACTGAAGAAGTATTGACTTTTGATAATATTGATGGAGACGAATATGAAGAAGTCGAAGTTGATAATGTTTGGGAATAATGATAGAGTTTGATTTTTGTTTTTTTTTTTCTTCTAATTTTACATCTGCATATTGTAGCTTACGATAATCAAATTTGATTCTATAATAAAGCGGCTAGATTTAAGAAATAAATTCAAATTTCGAAATTGGTTCAATTAATTTGTTAAATTCATTGCTTCGACTTTTTACACTTCCCTAAATTTTTGATGCAATATATTGAACATGATTAGTATGGTGGTTTGCAAAAAAGTGTGACCTGTAAATCGTGAAAATTGGCTGATCTTAGCAGATTTTTTAATTCTCCCAAGATTTTGAATAAATATAGACGTTACTAATTAACGATAGAAATTTAGAATCTCAGAAATTTTCAACTATCATCATTATGAAATCACTTTTTTGCAAGCCGCCATAATTTAGGCCCAATTCCAAAAAATCGCAGCGATGTCATAACGCACAGGTTAGCAGATCTAAAATCCGAATTTATTTAGCTAAATTATAAAAATTAAAATTTAAAAAATTTTTTTTGACCAATCTATAAGTAGTACCCGGGTATAAATCAAAAATTGGTATTCAATTGCTACGGGGTATATTGTATGGATACAATACCCGGGTATAAACAAAAAATTGGTCTTCAAAATGCTGCAGGGTACATCTCATAGGGGGGTACACATGTCGGATAAATATGGTAGTTTTCTATATACTAATGTTAAAATTTTCAGTTTTTCTATATAAAACTTTTTTTGTTTAATTGGTGATTTGCCAGTTAGCCAGTGAGAGATTATAGTATAACATAACATGGTTTACTTATAGAAATTAGGGTTTTGTGAATATGGGCTGCATCATTCTAAAACTTTTTTTGTACTAAGTTAACCACCTTTGGGCTTCTAATTGAAGTTGTAAAGCTCATTGAGAGGAATCAGGGACCTGTAAAATTTTGGAAATAAAATTTTTCAAATTTTTCCAAATTTTTTACTTAATCCCAAAATTTCCAAATTTTTGCATTTAATGCAAATTTTTCCAAATTTTTGCTGATTTTTTGGGGTCACACATGATCTGACCAATAAAAATAGGTTTTTATACATGT